GGGCTGGGAGTGCAGAGGCCTCAAGAAGAAATCTCATTCCCTAGTATTATGCCCTTCTACCAGCAGGTTTTGTATATGGTTGTGCAGTTCATCTTACTGTTTAGCAGTTTCCTGAAGGGGGTGGTGGGAAAGCTCATTGTGGGATGCACACAGTTCTCTGCCAGGTGGTACAGGTGTGGAGCATGTTGCACGAGCTCCTCATCATTGGGATGTAATTCACATCCCTATCTACTCCTGTTCAAGGGCTCACAACCTCCAGTTCAGATAGATAATGTCCTTTATCTCCAGGCTGCCATGCAACTAGGGTTCATGGAAAACATTCATCCTGTGGCTACAGACAAAATGGCCTCTGGAAAAAAACCTCTTCACACAGCTTGAAATACACACTCTGTATATTGGTCCACACTCTATAGCTGATTGACACTCTAGTACAGAAATGCTCCTGCTTTGTATAGGGAGCAAGAGTAAAGTCCCATCTTTTGTGTTAAGTCCAGGTTGGTGGGGACACTTCCAATTGGGGTGTGGACACTTCCAATTGCCATCCCAAACTGTGCTGAAAAGCTGTCTCCAAGTGCACCCACACCACACAAACCCTCACATGTATTTTTAGTAGAGACAGGTTTTGCCATGTGGAAAACGTCATGATTGTGTCTACAGCAGTGCTGGAGAGAGCAGATGTCTTTTCCATTTCAATTACTGCCACTGGTGCCACCTGTCCACTGGGGCAAGACAATACTCCTCATCTTCAAAGATCAGCGTTGCACCTGTGTTTCTGCTGGGAGAAATACTGCCATTTTCTGGTTATAAGTGGGGGTGGGGGCTCTCCATTGGGGAGAATGTGCTTTGGACTACAATCCTTCTTTCTTAGTGAAGGCCTGTATCAAAGGCTAGGTCTCTTAAGGATCTTGCAGCTCCCCAAGGTCCTACTGGTCCCCTGTGGTCACCATAGTCAGAGGAGTTTCTGGAAAATATTTGTGTGGGATCTAGTCATGCAGAGACACAGGGCTAAAACTATCTGGGCAGAATAAAGGCCTCGAACAGATGTACAGTCTGTATGGTATCCTCTATCTCAGCTTGGGATTGAGGGGAGAGCAAGCAAACTTGGTTGAGCTCACTACCCAGTGCTCTGACCTCCAGAGGTTCCCCAATCACTATAAAAAGTGGTGCCTGGGTTTGCAATGGCAGAGGGGCTGGCTATCAGACAAATTGGTGGTAAGCAGTCAGCTATAGGGGTGAAGAAAAAAGACACATCCCCATCTATACTTTCCATAGGACTCCAAGTTTCTCATGGGTCAGTGTCTGACAGACATTTATGCCCTTTATTTTTCTGTACCCCCAACTTCTTCCTGTGGGTTCTCCAAAAGGTTCTGACACTTTGCTCTCATCATTCCACCTGGTCATGATTATTCATCTGTAACGTTAAATCTTTCTAAGAACTGTATCTGATGTCTCTAGTTAGCCATCTTGAAAACAATCACCACATGATTTTTCTTTTTTTTTAAGATAGGGTCACTCTCTGTGGCCCAGGCTGGAGTACAGTGGCATGATCTTGGCTCACTGTAAACTCTGCCTCCTGGGTTCAAGCAATTCTTCTGCCTCAGCCTTCCTAGTAGCTGGGATTACAGGCACTGGCCACCACACCTGGCTAATTTTTGTATTTTTAGTAGAGACAGGTTTTGCCATGTTGGCCAGGCTGGTCTCAAACTCCTGACCTCAGACAATCTGCCCACCTTGGCCTCCCAAAGTGCTGAGATTACTGGTATGAACCACCACACCCAGCTGATTTTTATTCTTTATTCTGTTAATGTGATTTATCACAATTATTTTTATTTCGTTTCTTCAGCTTTATTGAGGTGCAGTCATTTGACAAAATTGTGTACATTTAAAATGTACAACACAATGATTTGAACTAAGTATACATTGTGAAATGATTGCTGCACTCAAGTTAATTATCATATTCATTATCTCAGGTACTTAATTGTTTTCTTTCATTTTGATGAGAATGCTTAAGGTCTAGTCTTTGAAAATTTCGAGGTATATACTTTAGTATTACTAACTATAGTCACTATGATTTACATTATATTCTCAGAACTTACTTATCTTAGAATGGAAAGTCTGTATACTTGGCTTACATCTCCCAATTTGACCCACCCCCAGACTTTGTCAACCACCATTCTACTCTGTTTCTAAGAACTCAATTTTATTGTTTTATATTCCACATTCACTTTTTTTTTCTTTAAAATGGATTTTGTAAATTAGAGCACAGAGAAAAGATGCAGAAAAAGGCTAAAGGGTCTTACATTAATTAATCTTGGGACTGGGATAAACAACTATGAACTGTGGGTCAAATGCAGCCCTTTACCTGTTTATGTAAATAAAGCTTTATTGGAACACAGCTATACCTGTTCATTTATACAATATCTATGTATGTTTTCACACTTCAACAGTAGAACTAAGTAAGAAAGACTGTATAGCTCACATAGCCTAAAATATTTATCTGCCCTTTGCAGAAAAGCTTTGACTGGTTGTAAATTAAAAAGAGCATTTTTGTCATAATCTAAATGAGCTGAAGTAACACAAAATCATCTTTGCCAATGTTCTTGAGCCAGAATAAGTGGATTAATATATTTCCATATCATATGTGGTTTGTATTAGTCAATTTTGTGTTGTCATAAAGGAATCCTTCAAACTGGGTAATTTATTTTATTTTTATTTTTATTTTTCCAAGACAGGTTCTCACTGTATCACCACTGGAATGTAGTGGCATGATCTCAGCTCACTGCAAATGCCACCTGTTAGGTTCAAGCAATTCTCTCACCTCAATCTCCCTTTAGCTGGAACTACAGGAGCACACCACCATGCCTGGCTAATTATTGTATTTTTAGTAGAGGTGGGGTTTCACCATGTTGGCCAGGCTCAAACTCGGGACCTCAAGTGATCTGCCTGCTTCAGCCTCTCAAAGTGCTGGGATTGATTACAGGCATGAGCCACCGGTCTCAGACTCTATTTTAAAAAAATGGGTTCATTTGCCTCACAGTTATCCAGGCTAGACAAGCATGGTGCCATATCTGCTTTAGGCCAGCACCCCAGGAAGCTTCCACTCATGGCGGATGGCAAAAGGGAACGGGTTTGTCACACAGTGAGAGAGGAAGCCAGAGAGATGCCATTCTCCTTTAAGCTCCCAACTCTCATGTGAACTAACACAGCAGGGACTTGCTCATTACCATGGGGAAGGCACCAAACCATTCATGAGGGATCCACACCATTACTCAAACACCTTCCACCAGGCTCTACCTCCAACACTGGGAATCACATTTCAACATGAAATCTGGAGGGGGAAAAATATCCCAACCATATCAGGCTGTTCAAACATTCTGCTTAAAATTTGTGCAGCCCAACTAGTTACCAACTGTGTTTGTTAGCTAAAAAATAACATTTAATTTTTTTGTGTATAACCATCAAATTATACAGATAGATATAGAGAAAGAGACAGAAAGAAACAGGGAGAGAGGAGAGAGAGAAGATAGGAGCTATCCAATTTGAGTATAAGGAAATCTAAAAATAAAAAAAAGAACTCAAAATCCTATTACTAGAAACTTCTTTTTGAAACCTAGAAACATTTTAGTATATTTTTCTTTATATTTAATAGCATGAGACTGTTAGTAGGACCCATACCAGAGCAAAGACAATTTACAACTTCAAGATTTACCCATGATGTGACAAGCTTTTTGAATATAAACTAACCAGCACTTCTATAGAACATTGATTTTTAATAATATAATTGAACTGATATAGCAAAATAAAAAACTTTTCATTTCTAAATATTTTAGCCAAAGTTGCATCAAAAGTCAAATATTTGACATTTTTTCAAGATTTTTTTAAACTATAATTACAGTATTATATAGTACACATAGTTTAAAATATATTACAAACCTTTTCTCTTTATATGAAATATAAAATTTAAAATGTTGTAGCATGATTCATATTGGAAAACATGTAAAATTGTATAAACTGCTCTCATACAAAAAGTGCCATTGGAATCACATAAAACGTTCTAATGCTTCAAGGTGCTAGGCACAGTGCTTGGCACACATGACATATTTCATAAATGTTTGTTCACTCATTCTCTCATTTACTTATGAGATAAAAGATGTCCAATCTTTTATCAACAAACTTGGAGTTTTGACAAAGACTCTGATGGGCAGTGGAACAGATGAAAGGATGATAGTCAAGATTTCAAACTGTTTGGTTAAAATCTACTGAGTAAAGCCCCGGGTTCACAAGACCTCATAGAGAATCAGAATCAATACTCCACAAAAAGAATGTATTCTTTCAATATCCAGGTTGGACTTTTATATATAACCATCTGATTGAAGCTGGGAATAAGTTGTGGTAGAAAGAAGTAAAACACATAGTCCACCAGAAGGTACAACCACCTGACGGGGGACTTGTTTTCCTGCACTGAGACTTCCTTTCAGGTAGGGTCTCATTCTCTTGGTTCTGACAACTTAATACAAGTTAGAAAAAAACAAACAAAAAAAAAAAAAACACTGGTTTAAATCAAAAAATTTTATTCTAAAATAAATATAAATAAATGTAGAAGGTAGAGGGGTGTTTAACCTTCCTATTTTTTCCCATTATGCACCAACCAATCCATCTATTCTGCATATTTGTGCCAAAGTCACAAGGTAAGTTGACAACTCTTTGAGGAGCATTTCTGGGCTATTTGCAGAAGGTCTGATAAATGCAGTATTTTACCAGAGTAATAAGGTCTACAAAATGCAAAAAGCAATAAAAAAAAGAGAGAAGAAAGTATGAATACTAAGCAGAATATAAGACAAAAATTGATCTTGGAGGAAATTTACCCAGTTTCTGTTTGCCCCAAGAATACCGTGCTGGCAGTGAGATGCACACTTTTTTTTTCCTAAATGGAAAATGGGTTAAAAATCTTTAACAAAAATAAAACATAATACCAGCAAGTCATTTGCAGCTGGCCCGAATTGTCTTTGGTATTCAGAGAAGAAAATAAATGGAAGTACCATTACAGTTCCAGTCTTACCATTCCATAGAAGGTAGTGATGGGTGTAGAAGACCTTCTCAAATGCTTTGCTTATGAACTGACTCTGCTTGAATACTTCTCTGCATCTCTTAATTCCAGTCATCTGAGTAATACAAAGAAAGCCCTTGGAGATATGAGTTGTGTGTCCTCATCCCTTGAGAAGTTCCTGGAAGACCAAGAAGGGCTCTTTACTCTGCATTATTCTAAACAAACTAAGAGTTTGGAAACTTCATTGCCATCTGCACAACTTTTCTGGGTCGTTGCCAACTAAACTTTCTTGCCTTTTTTTTTTTTTTTTCCAGTGATTCATAAGTGGGCTTGTGCTATTTTTAGCAAGAAGCCTTTTTTAAGAACCAAATACTTTCCCTTTTCTCTTCTAAAGTTATAGTCATCTACCTTTGTCATTTAAAAATTTTAAAGGTTCAAGTAGTAAAAGGTATTACAATCTCAAAATATGACCTAAAATTTAACTCTCTTAAAGACTTTATTGTAACTGGCTCTACATCCTTATTTTCTATGTTTACTGAAAACTTTTGCAGTGGCTGTCATTTAGGAATCATTGGTTAGACTTTGAAAATTGTTTAATAATTTGTGGCATAGGATGGTCAACCTTGGAAAATATTTAATTATATTCATTCATTAAATCTTTTGCAAACTTAAATCTAAAAGCTAAGTTAAAAAGAAATATTATCAAATAAGGAAATAAGCCTTCAGAATTCCAAGGTGGATTTCTTGTATGAACTGTTTCATAAAGTCTTTAAATTCATAGGAAATATCATAATAGTTATACTGTTTTCAATTTTATTAATGTCAATGGAAGATGTCTAAATTAAATTAAAACAGTGAAAATGTCCCTTGAGTTTATGTGACAGAAAATTTGTAAGCATTAGACATTTATTTTACACTATAGTAATTGATAAAAAGTTTTCTTTTTGACAAAATATAAAGAATTAGTAATTTCTTTAAAGAGAAATATCAATGCAAAACTTCCTGATGGTAACAGAAAATCCCTAAGTTACTTACTTCAACACTTTCATCACTGAAAATGATTTTGAAGCTATTCTAATTATTTTGATTTCTATAAATATCGATAGAAACAATTTTTAAAACATAAAATATTTGTGAATGGTGCATTCCCCTGATTAAATTAATAAAGTATATTATCCCAGATAGAATATTTAAGAAAGTTGCACTGTGTTTTGTTTTTGCTTTAATGAGTTGTAAAAGTAATTTAGCTTATCAAGGCAAATTCAGAGCTATATAATAGTATAGTGAATTTTGCCAAGTCACATTAAGTTGTGAGTTGGATGACTCTCCTAATGTTATTATGAGATTAAAGTGGATAAAACTTATTTGGTAGATTTATTAGTTCAGAAAAACAATCTCCTACCAGAAAAACTAATAATTTATTTTAGAACAGGTTTCAAGGCAACAAACTGTGGTTTTTCCTCACTTTTTGTCGTGTTACCAACACTGACCGAACCACATGAACAAGATCTCAGAAACTCAGCCTTATGAGTAGTGGTTATGATAAATAGCAATTTTAATGATTTAATATGAAGACAGACACTTGAAGAGTATTTTTTTTGTGAGATCATGCCCCTGGAGGAAACTAAATTTAAATAAAATATATTTCATTTAAACCAATTAAATAGGATTTGAAATGGTTGCCAGTCTGGTCATCCAATAGGAAACTTGAAAATTCAGACACGATTGGCACTTCTGTTTTTCGAGTCTTCTTGTCACTGATGCAGTTATACTATCTTTTTTCTTGTTTACCTTAATTTATCACATTATTAAAATGGAGAAAAAAGAAAAAACATGCAACATGTGATTTGACAGTTGTACCACTGTAGGAAGAAATGAATAATTGTTTCCAAAGGCCATCCTTAACTCCTTCAAGGTGCTTCTATATTCTTGGCTTGCTCTTAGGAAGTCTACCCTCCAGACTCCAGGACTCTATGAACCATATATATATATATATATATATCCATATATACATGTGTGTATATAAATACGCACACACACACACACACACACACACGGTTTGTAGAGTACTAGATTGCTGCAAAAGTAATTGTGATCTTTGCTATAACACACATTTTTCATATGACCACTATCATGTTGACTTAGAGGTCTAAGTTTTCAGACTCATTTCTATAGTGGTCCATGTAAACAAAACATGTGACACTGGTCCTTTTGGAACTGCTTTTATCCAACAGTAGAATTACCTGAAAGTGTAGTGTTGGCTAAATGTGACACAGGCAGAGGGTGAGCCTCAGTATTAAGCACCCAGTAGTCTAAAGGTAAAAGGTCACTACTGGAGAACAGCAGATACAAGTATTTTAGAGTTTCAGCAAGGACACCCTGCTGTATGTCATCATGTGTGGTAGAGAAATGTACATCTTTGACTCCAGATAATCCACCACTGACTCAGCAATACTTTTCAATGGCCAGTGCTCTCCCCAGCCCCACTGCCTGTATTTTGGATTGTGAGAGGATCACCATAGGTACCAATAGGTTTCAATTACTTCTGAACAGAGGATATAATACTTTTCAGTCTGACAGCCACAACCTGCACTGCACCATCAAACTCGAATGACTCAGGACCCAGCTTTAATGCAGTTCTGTAAGATAACTCATGACATGTACATGCAATTCCACCCCTAGCTCTAAATTATGACAGAAGTTATCTGTTCTGGAACCATCTTCTTCTACTGCAAACATTACCCCAGCAAAGCAGGCCGGATGCCCCATCTTATTTTCCAAGTGCCCATTGATCCACTGTTTACTAAAGATAAGACATCCATGGGAGTTCTTATTTTTTTTTACAGCCTCAATAGCATCATCATATATCTTCCTCTATTCATGGTCTGTTTTATCAGACATCAACCACGCTCTCAGTAAGTATTCATAAAGACTGTCTCCCAGATCACCAACTGATGTGTGATACTGACCCCAGCGCCCTGTTCTTGGCTTCAAACAATTTGGATAAAGACCATTTGGACAATCCATTTTCTGAAGCAGTTTCTGCATGTACATGACATTGTTGTAGTAAACCAGGTCTGCTGACAAGTAGCTGAGGTGGATGAACTCCATATGCAGTGTACCAGATTCAGCCACAATGCTGCTACATGCAGACCCCTAGCCTCAGTTTCACCCTACTCCATTCTGCAAATGTACCACTGTCCAGGGAATCCCAGTCGGTGTGTGAAAGGCAGGAATGAGTTTCTCAGCTAGTTGTATAGCTTTAATCTTGAATATCTCCTTTCTTAAAAGGTAATATGCTGCAAGTAGGCCTTCTATAAATTGAATGTTGACTTCAAATACAGACATCTCTGAATTGACACTGATCTCAAGGTTGTTTTTAAACCATCTCTGCACATATAGGAATTCAGCATGAAGTCCCATGATAAAAAGGGTATCCAAAACATCTACAATGGTAGCACCCATTTGTGAACTTCCAAATGTTAGTTGCATGTCCTTTCCTTTTCACAGGTCTGAGTTCATTACATCCCAACTGTATGTCCTGTAATTATCCCAGGCATGTTTCATGCTTTAATTTTTTTCCCTTTTCTTTTTTATGTCGTCTTCGGGGACTCCACCATTCATGCCTACAACGTTTGGAATAGGGACTGGTGGCAGTGAATTGTTTCCTGTCTTCATTTCTTGGACCTTATTTTTCTCTATGCTTGGATTTCCTTGCTTGACTTTTCTTTCTCTTTGAGATGTGGTCTCACTCTGTCACCCAGGCTGAGTGCTGTGGTGTCATCAGGGTTCACTGCAGCCTCCACCTCACAGGCTCAAGCAATCCTCCCACCTGAGACCCTGAATAGCTAGGATTACACGGGGGCACTAGCATACCTGGCTAGTTTTTGATTTTTTGTGGAGACAGATTCTCATCATGTTGCCCAGGCTGGTTTCAAACTCCTAGATGTAAGCCATCCTCCCGATTTGGCCTCCCGAAGTGTTGGGATTACAGGTGTGAGCCACAGCGCCCAGGCTGCTTGACTTTCTCAATTTTTATTTTGCCTCTTCCAGAGCCTTCTCATGATCAGCTCGAATTGTATTTCTCAGAGGTTCTTCTTCTTCCCTGTGTGTATATTAATCAGGTACATAGATCAAGAAGACTTCAGAGTTTTTAGCCCCTTTGCCAGCAACTACAGGAGGAATTAACACATCGTCTAAACCCAGATCAAAGCGTTTGTTTTGAGAAGCCTAGAAGGAAAAAGAATGCCCCCAAACACAGGGTGATGAAGGCACTAAAATTGTCTTCTCAGAAAGCCTCGATAAGTGTCTTCTTAGGAGCCCTGTGATGCGGGAGGGAGGGCAGCCCCAGGTTCAAAAGTGGGATCCCGCGTCTCGAGAGGGCAGCAAGGCCGGGGTAGTCACCGTTTATGCTCTTGGAGACACTCCATAAAGTTCTCATCTTATAGCAAATGCACAATACATTAACTATCTTCAAAATCTTGGCAAAAATGGGAAAGCTCAATTTCGCTCCACTTAAAGGACTGCGGCTTCTTCACAGGCACCCCTTTCACGTTCCACCAATTCCATTCAGAAACGTGCATGACCTCCCGCCGCGAACGATCACAAGCTTAGGTCCTGCGAGATCTCGTTTACCCTTTGACTTTCAGGACCCTACGGGGTTATCGGAAATCTCTTCATTTCTAAGGGTCTATCAGAGAAGCCACACTGCAAAGGAGCTGCCCCTTGGGGAGGTGCTCAAGGGTGGTCTTCCGCCCCAAATGGGAGCCTGGCTAAATCGGAGGAATTGCAGAAGGTTCACCATCTCCTCTAGTGCTTCTATTCCAGAATCTCTTAACCTTCGTGGTGGAAAAATAAGGGTTTCCACCGAATCCTGCAAACTGGGAGGGAAGGTTTCCCGCCCCCGGAGGCCAAGGCAGCGGCGCTGGGGTAAGGAGCAGGAAGGGACCGGCCGCCCGCGCTTCCCAACGCTACCGGGCAGGCTCCCGGGCCGAGCAGAGCTCCGAGGCTGCCTCCGGGCAGTCACGTCCAACGTACCTGAGCCCGGCCAGCAGCAGTCGCTGTCGCCGCCGCACCTGGCGCGCTTTCCTCCTGTGCGGCCCCTCAGAAGCCCGGAGTGCGGGCAGGGGAGGCGCGGCGGGCCCCGCGGCCGGGTCAGTTCGCCACCTGCCTGCTCCGGAGCGTGTCGCCGCCGACCCCGCCGCGCCCGGCCGAGCCCCGAGCTCCGCAGCGTGGGAAAGAGGCGAGCGGCGGCTGTCGCTCCGAGAGCCCGGGGCCGGCAACTGCCCATTCCCCGCGCAGCCGTGGGGCCGCGGGTGGCCCCGGGGGCGGGCGAGCAGCCGCTTCTCCGGCAGGCAGAGGTCGACTCCGGGTCCTCCGCCAGCCGCCGTGTGGGCTTCGTCTGCGCTGCCTCCCGTGGCGCCCGGATCCGCCTGGCTGCGGCTGTTGAGACACGGCGCCCATGCGCGAGGCTGCGACCGCGCCTCTGCCTCTCCAGGCCGGGTGGGCGCGGAACAGCTGCGAGGCTACACCCGCTGGACGCACGCGCGGAGGAGCCGGAGGGCGGGGCCGATGGGGCGCAGCCGGAAGCCGCCGCCGACTCGCGAGTGGGCGGTGCCGGCGGCGGAGCGTGGGGCGCTCTCCCTGGAGTCCGCAGTTAAGTGACGGCACCCTGGGTTTGCCTTTCTCTGTCGGGATAATTTCTCTTTTTATTACGTCCCGACACACTGTCAGACACACTGTCACAGATGGCGGTTTCTGCCTTCCTCTGGCTATTTCATTGAATATATATCCCGCATTTTCTGTATCCAGTCATCCCTCTGTGGACTGATAGGTTGTTTCTGTGTCTTGGCTGGTTTAAGTAATACCGTAATAAGCAAAAAGTGCAGATATCTCTTTCCTTCAGCTACGTACCCAGAGGTGAGTTGTATTTTTCACTTTTTAAGGAAACTCTATATGTTCATATGTCTGCACCAATTTACATTCCCACCAAGAGGGAACAAGGACTTCCCTTTCTCTGCATGCTCTGCATCACTTGTTCTCTCTTGTGAGGTGTTGATGACTAGTTCTAGTAATAGTCATTGTAACAGAAGTGACGTGATATCTCATTGCGGCTTTGATTTGAATTTTCCTAATAATCAGTGATGTCAAGCACCTTTTTGTATATTTATACCTGTTACTGATTTTTAAAATTTTGAAAAAATGCCTATTCAGATTATATACCTTGTTTTTATTTGGATGGTTTACTTTTTTGCTATTAGGTTGAGTACCATATATAGTTTGAATATTAACCTCTCAGATTATGGTTTGCAAATATTTCTCTTATTCTGTGGGTTACCTTTTCATCTCGTTAAGTCTTTTTGCTGTGCAGAAGCTTTTCAGTTTGATGTAATGCCATTTGTCTATTTTTTTTTTTTTTTTGCCCGTGCTTTGTGGTATATCCAAAAAAACCTTTGCTAAGACAAATGTCAAGGAGCCTTTCTCTGTTTTGATTTTTTTCCTAATATATGTTTTCTTTATATTCTTCTAGGAGTTGTACATTTCATATCCTACACCAAACCTTTAATCCATTTCCAGTTGACTTTTGTATATGGTGTAAAATAAGGGTCTAATTTCTTTTTCCTTCCTTTTTATTTCTCCATTTTTTTTTTTTTTGCATGTGAATATCTAGTTTTCCAAACATCATTTATTGAAGAGACTATCCTCTTTCTATTGTCTTCTAGGCAACTTTGTCTGAAATAAATTGATGTTAAATGTGTGAGTTTATTTATGGCTCTATTCTGTTCAATTGATTGCTACGTCTTTTCTTATGTCAGTATCATGCTGATTTGGTAAATATAGCTTAACAATATAAAAACAGAAAGAGTGATGCCTCCAACTTTGTTCTCTCTCAAGAGTGCTTTGGCTATTTAGAGATTTTTGTGGTTCCACACAAATTTTAGAATTATTTTTATTTGTTTAAAAAATGTCACTGGAATTTTGGTAGGAATTGTACTGAATTTGTAGGTTGCTGTAAGTAGTAGTAATTTTACCAATATTAATCGTAAATGTGATATATATTGTCTTTTATTTTTGTCTTCAATTACTTTCAATATTTTATAGTTTTGAGTGTCTAGATCCTTCAAACTCTTAAGTTAAACGTCTCCCTAATTTTTTTAAATGCTATTTAAATTAGATCATTTTCTTGACTTCTTTTTAGGTAGGTCATTATGATGTAAAGAAGTGCGGTTGATTTTGTGTGTTGATTTTGTACCTAAAGCAACTGATTTTGTGTTTTGATTTTGTATTTATTCATTAGTTCTAACTTTTTTGGGGGAATTTGTAGGATTTTCTATGTATAGGATCTTGCTATTTGTAGGGATAATTTTACTGCTTGTCTTGTAATATGACTGTCTTGTGTTTCCTTTTTTTTTCAAAACATTAAAAAAAAATTTCTGTTATCTATTGAGATAACCATATGGCTTTTATCTTTCATTCTGTTAATATGTTGTATCATATTGATTGATAATATGATACAACCAACCTTGCATTCCAAATTGCTCTTGCTGATACTTCCAGTACTGTGTTGAAAAGAAGTGGTGACAGTGGGCGTTTTTGTCTTGTTCATGATCTTAGAGGAAAAGCTTTCAGTTTTCCCTGATTATTATGTTAACTGTGAGTTTCTCATATATGGCCTCTACTATATTGAGGAAATTTTCTTCTATATCTAATTTGTCAGGAGTTTTTATTATCAAAGAATATAATTTTTTTCAATTTTTTTTTCTGTATCTACTGAAATAACCATGTGGTTTTTATCGTTCATTCTGTTAATGTGTTGTATCATACTGATGGATTTCTCTATGTTAAACCAACCTTGGATTCCAAAGATAAATTTCACTTGGTCAAGTAGTATGATCTTTTTGATATGTTGCTGAATTTGGTTGTTGTTGTTGTTTTTTTTAATTTTTGTTGTGTTTTTAAAAATGAAACCACAAAGCAGTACTCTAATGAACACAGATACAAAAATTCTCAATGACATGGTGAGTTTTGAGAGCACAACTTTCCTAATAGCTTTAAGTATAAACACTGGATTCAGACTGTCTCTGGATACCAGTTTTATCTTATTTGAATAACAGCTGCCTAATCTTTGTCAAATTACTGACCTCCTCTGAATCTCAGATGCATCATCTGGAAAATAACAATAACAGGGATTTGAGAAACAAATGAGGTAATTAATACAAAACACTTATCACAGTGTATTTTACAAAGTAAATGCATTTGTTGTTACTTTCAGCAGCTAATGGGAGCTACATTCATTCAGACTAGCATAGCCCAATATGCAGAAGCCTATGGCTAGTCTGAAATTTCTACCCCTCTTTCCACCCATCTTTATACTTCCTTACATTTATGACACTTCTGTTCTTAGATACACTCTAGTTCAAAGTGATGAAAGTCTTACTTTTGTCCTACTTTCCCCCAAGCATAGAAATCCTTTTGTTTGCTGATTTAGCTGGAATATATACTGATACTCCTTTTTTATTTGAATGCAGAATCATTCAGTTCCCTTCTTTCTCCCTCCAGGGATTTCACTCTAGTTTCATCTTCATGTCAGGAGACATGTTTCAACCACATGTCTTTTTTCTGGAAGAAATATTTTACCAGTTGTACTTGCTCAAGGCAGGTCAGCCATGGAGCAGAATTGAAGATATGGATACTCCAAAGTAGAGATAAAGTGTGGGCAGGGGAAAAAGGAGGGGAGATCTTTATCAAAATCATGGGATTAACCTTCCTGGACATGGAAGGTTAATCATTAGCCTCCCTTATGATTTGCTGATCTTACAGAACAAGGAGGTGTTGACAAAAGAGTCAGACTCTGTAAAATATTTGAAGATATTTATTGAGTGCCAAATATAAGTGACCGTGTCCCATGATACAGCCCCCAGGAGGTCCTGAGAACATGTGCCCAGGGTGGTTGGAGTGCAGCTTGGTTTTATATATTTTAAGGAGGCACGAGACGTCAACCAAATACATTTAAGATACATATTGGTTTGGTTCAGAAAGGGGGGACAACCCAAAGCAGGGAGGGGGACTTCCAGGCTATAGGTAAATTTAAACATTTTCTGGTTGACAGTTGATTGAGTTTGTCTAAAGACCTGGGATGTTAGAAAGAAAATGTTCAGTTTAAGATAAAAGGCTGTGGAGACTTAGCTTCTTTTGAATTCTTATAGTGGTGGCCTTTAGAGACAGTAGATGATAAATGTTTCCTATTCACATTTTTTTGTTTTTGAGACGGAGTTTCACTCTTGTTACCCAGGCTGGAGTGCAATGGCACGATCTCGGCTCACCGCAACCTCCGCCTCCTGGGTTCAGGCAATTCTCCTGCCTCAGCCTCCTGAGTAGCTGGGATTACAGGCACGTGCCACCATGCCCAGCTGATTTTTTGTATTTTTAGTAGAGACGGGGTTTCGCCATGTTGACCAGGATGGTCTCGATCTCTCGACCTCGTGATCCACCCGCCTCGGCCTCCCAAAGTGCTGGGATTACAGGCTTGAGCCACCGCACCCAGTCTGGGTACGTGTTCTTAAATCTACTTTTCATTTAACTGATCTTCCCCCAAGATGGATTCAGATAAAAAGCTGGGCCTTATGGGACAGGATTGCTTCATGAACTCAGCACTGACTTTCTCTTCCTGTCACATTTTTCTGCAGATATAAGGAGAGAGCTTTAATATAGCACCCTCCACACTACCATCTGGGGAAATACTTAATCAACACAACCTCCCAGACAAATGGGCCATCAAATGTTTTAGAGATGGATAGAACAGTCAGGCCACCCCGAATTACTGGGCTTGGCTTATTAGTTTTTTCATCATTATTTCTGTTCCCCATTTTTTTTTTTTTTTTAGACAGAGTTTCACTCTTGCTACCCAGGCAGGAGTGCAATGGCGCAGTCTCGGCTCACCACAACCTCTGCCTCCTGGGTTCAGGCAATTCTCCCGCCTCAGCCTCCTGAGTAGCTAAGACTACAGGTGTGCGCCACCATGCCCAGCTAATGTTTTGTATTTTTAGTAGAGACGGGGTTTCACCATGTTGACCAGGATGGTCTCGATCTCTTGACCTCGTGATCCACCCGCCTTGGCCTCCCGAAGTGCTGGGATTACAGGCTTGAGCCACCGCACCCGGCCCTCTGTTCCCCTTTTTCGTATTCTCTTTGCTCTAATTGAACTATGCTTATAACACACGTCTTTTATGAGCATAGCTCAAGCACCTTCTTGAGTATAAAGCTGCTAGTACTCAACATGAATAGGTGTCTTGAAACCAAAAAGCACATATTTCTGTCCTTAACAAGTCTTACAATGCTATTCTGATGGAAAGACGGTCTGAACTGTATATAGGTAGGCCAGATTTTAAGAGAGGAAATAGAGACATTTAGAAACTCAAGCATTTTGATGCCTTTCTAAAAGGGACAAGGATGTCATTCTATACAACTCTGGAGAGCATGATCTCATTTCATTCCATGCCCCTATCCAACTTAGAGCATGATGCCCTGGGGAGGCTCCCATACACTTAGAAAAAAATATGATAGTGAGCATACTTTTAAAATACTCTTTTTATAAGACTCAACATATACTCAGAAAAATTCCAGTTGCGATCTGCTGAAGAGAG